CCCCCCCCCCCCCCCCCCCCCCGGCGGGGTGGGGGTTGTTTAGGGGTTGATACGCAGATATTGAGCCTTCCAAGCACGCACTGCAGACTGCTTTCGCCCAGCGCCGTGGCCTGAAGGGGAACAGGGATGGAGGCAGTACAGATCACGAAAGTGCCAGCATTGTTGTAGATCCTGGAACAAGTAGTGCCACCTGAAAACTCGGGATTTTCGTGCACCTCATAAAGAGCAGGGCCTACGGTGATTTTGTGGCGGCCATAAAGGCCGAGATTGATAACGATGGGAAGTTGGCAAAGCCACCAGACTTCAGAGTGCTGGAGCAGGTAATGGGCCAGGACCTCGGATGTGTCCTTATCGATGACGGTGATGCTGACTTCGGAAGTATCACGAACAAGATCGGCCTCAATCTCCACAGCCTTGGTGCCTTGACATGAGCTCAAGGCTGGTGTGCCCAAAACTCTGAATAGGTCAGATCTCTTCCAAGATGATCCGCTTGATACGGGACGCCTTGGAACTGCGCTTGGATCAATTTTGGGACAGCCCTCACGATCCGGAGCCGTTTTGATTCGCTCTGAGTGGCTCTGAGCCCGGGTCTTACGAAGGGGCTGAGCTGACAGTCATTCGCACTTCCATCCAATAGGCCACCGTGGTTTGCAGCCCGCTTATGAGGTGCCTAATGGTAGCGCTTGGGGCTTAAATGATGGCTCATATTCTTTTGCCACCTGCTCTCGTCTCCTGCACACTCCATACCACAGACTGGTCCACCTCATGGCGGCTGTGAAACCGGCGCGCACATATATCTTCCGGCCAACGAGGATATTGAAGCTTATGTAGGCTAGGATGTCACAGACGCTTTAGGTTTCGATTCTGTAATACTGTGACCGGAACGGCGCTGGTTGGGTGATAGCTGTTGTTTTGAGGGGTCTGGAATAGCCATATTGAAAGCGAAAAGTAATGCTAATAACGAGATTTTACCTACCAGGCTGAATGCAGTCTACTGGCTCGCCTTTTGGCCAATGGCAGTAAGTCTAGTAAAAGCCAGGACAGATCCTTCCCGAGTCTCCTTTGCAGCCTGGCCCAGCATCTGTTTAAGTTGCTGCATATTCTCCTCGTTCTCACCTGCTCTGTTTCGGGCCAAGACCTCCGTGGCTAACATTCCACACTCATGCAGCGCAACTCCCAAATGGGGCGGCGCCTCCTTTGTATCGGATACGACATTGGTGAATCCTCCGTGTTTAAGAAGGGAGGGCAGACTTGGAACCCACGCGGAATGAAGACGGGCATCATTCTCTAGGAAAAGCCTCATTAACTTGATCTGGGCGTCAACCCTGACGTCTGGATGGGTCTTCTCAACGCGAAGTGAGGACAGGTCGATATCGGTCCACTGGAGGTAGCCCCCAGGCTCCATAAAACAGCGGTTAGAGCAGCGCGAATTGTAGAAGTTGGATAGCATACTGAGAAGTTTCAATAGATTGTCAAGTACGCGCTTCAATCAGGCTGTCGGAGGACGAAGGCGAAATGGGGAACATGAACTACATCATAGACTCCAAGCAGATGCTCAGGGACCTCGGCCGTGATATCCCAGTGGTGAAGCCTCATGTTGGTCGGGAGCCAGTCGCGTGGAGGAGTAGCATTAAAGGAGATATCAAGTCCATCTAGTTGGACAGTTGCAGGGAATATGTCAACCAAATCGGTAAGCCAGACTCTGTACATATGAGTAGCTGCCATGGAACAACTTGAGATTGGCATACCTCGTACCAGTCCCAACGTGGGCAATCCGTACGTTTTCCACATCCTTGACCGGAATCGACGGGTGGATATGATATCCAAAGAGTTAGACGACCAGGTAGTGCTGCACGTTGATGCTGCAAATATAAGCAAGCAGAATAACGAAACTGCGGATGATCATACCGGTTATTGTCTAAGTAGCTCCGAGTAAAGACATATTCTGCAGAGGAAGACATTTTTGCCGTGCCTCAAGTCTCCAGGTGGAATTGCGGAACAAACAAACTGTACTTATTAACGCTTGATAGTGAACAGATATAGTGAAGGACGACAAAGTAGAAAGCCGGGAATGACGCTTGTAGGATAGTACAGGCGCCCCTTTGTAGCATCCAGAAAGGGAGAGTGAAGTGGCATTGTGCCGGATGGGGTGTCTTTCCTCTAGCTTTTTGACGTTTATCTTCTTTTGCTTCCTATTCGTTGAACTGTAGCCACAAAGGCGCCAGATATGATTCATCGCTGTTCTCGTGGCTTAGGTTTCCACTTGGGCGTTTCTGTCTCCACAATTTAATCGCGTTTTCCCCACGCTCGTTTTCTCCACCATATCGCCCAGTTGCACATTAGGATGGTTGGAATATGAGTCCTTGGTATCATGCCATACAGTCCTTACTCTCTAGATAATGGTTAATGTAGTCCCTTGGTGATTGCCAGTCAAATATGCGGCACCCTGATGGTATCTTGGCTGTAATGCCTCCATCTACTGCTTTTTACCAGGAGACAATCAGAATTATCCATAGTCCGGACTGGACTTGCTGACGGTCTGCGTGGTGGTACTAGATCTGGATGTCTTGGTCGGGTCCACAATAGCAGACTAGGCCAACTGACACATGCGATGTAACGTAGACTTAGGGCTCATCAAAGAATATCGACTATGGCAAATGGGGTATGTTGCTGGGCCGGAGTCTGACCACGGCTTGCCCAGATGTGATCCAGTAACTGTCTTCGGTGGTCTAAAGAGGTACGGAGTAGTAGGATGAGAATGAAAGACATGAAAGACCCCCTGTATCGTAACACAATCAGGCCTGCTAGAAACGGTGAGGGACGAATGAGATGGCGTTGCACCGGATGGGTCCTGTTTTCTTTATCTTCCGACCCTTTGTGCTTTTTCCTTTCCAGGTGAAGATAGCCACTGAGAGCGGCACGGATTAGGTTTATTATGGTTTTTCTTTTTTTCCCTCTGGTGGTCGAGAACTTTCCTTGGGCTTGTCTCGCCCTCCGCATTAGATGCCCAGTGCCCCGAACCCTTTCCTTTATTGTATGACCCTGTTGCCCATGGATTTTAAAGATACTTTCAGTAGTCGCACGACATAGTCATTGCCCTCGAGATAATAATGGTATCTTCATACTGTCGGTCAAATATAACTTGCATGGTCCCTGGGCATGATTGACGGGCCCTCCATTGTACAACCGGCTAGCCGGTTGAGCACTTTTTTTAGAATTGCTCTGGCTGCGTAGTCGGGTCTTCTCTAGATGTCTTAGTTGAGTTCCAACCGCTGGTAGTATATCCGAGTGGATGCAATGTGATCTAGCATCTTCTATGAGTCGCGTAATACCCGACAGTGCAGCGATGTAACCTAGAACCAGAGGCCACAAATAGTATCATGGCCATGAACCAAATGTGTATGTTGCAGGGCCTGAATCTGGCCCTTGGCGACAACAAGAGGTTATTGGCAGGGTGAAAGCCGTGGTAGCTAGCCACGCCCAGACTGACCGGAGCCGACTGGTTCGTCAGGGGCAATTTAATAACCATTCTCAGCGCATTAAGGAGACTGCGTAGGAAGAGAAGGACGCTGTAGGGTAGCACAAGAGCCCCCATACCGGAATCCACAATGGACGAGTGAAATTTGCGCTGGATGGGCTGTCATTTCTCTATCTTTCGACCTTCCTTTTCCCTTCCAGATGTTGATAGCTAGAGACGCTCAGATAAAGCTTCGCCGTTGTTTCGTGGTCTAGAAATTCAGTAGCCAGCTTTTCTGGTCCAGCCACTTCCTCGGTCTCCACAATCCAGCTTTGCCCACGGGACAGTCACGGGGTAGGGTGCGCGCAGCTATTTAGGTCGTTCATATGTACGTGACAGCTTTTCCCTAGCCAAAAGGTGCACACTGGCGGGCACAGCCTGCACAATTCACCCTCCATTTGAATGGCCGGGCCCGGCGCACTTCGTCTTAGGCATTGAACACCCATATCTAATATACAAGGCACCTGGATCTTCAAATGCCGCGGCTTTGGGGGGTGGGTGCTCTCTTCCACTGCCATCGTGGTCGCATAAAGGTGATCGGATTCTAATTCCAATAGGCTATGTTCGTTTCCCACGCAGTAAAAAGAAATCTCGCAACTCCGACAAAGATATAACCGAAGACCATCCACCCGGAGAAAATCTGTATCTCGCCCTTCACACCTAGTCTGTATCCCGACTACTTCGCTGATGTTATTCTCTTCGGCCGTGTTTAGGTGTTGCCAGTTCACCCTAATGTCAGGCATATTGTATTCAGCTGCTGTCTTCGTCGCGAGAAGTCCCATGATAAGCCCTATCCAGGCAATTCCCAAACCGACAATCCAGCCTCAACTCCATTCCCTGCATTACCACATACTACCACCTCACCCAATTTATATTATACCCCGATCTCCCTCCCTCAACTCGACCCAACATACTCCGACTTCATCTGTGACGTTTTGATCTTCACGAAGGAAGGAAAGAAAGTACGTCGATTACTAGTATTAGACTTTCGGACTGATGTCAACATCATGTCTGAGGGCGTGTACCAAAGATTACATATGAAGGCCTCCTCCTGTGACCCATCGATCGTCCTTCAGGTGGCCGGAATGAGGGAGGTCACTCCATTTGGCAGTGTGGATGTGGAATGGAGTTTATGGGCAGATAGCACGGTTTATAGTACAAGATTTTATGTGGTAGAGGGATGTCAGTTCGATCTGCTCTTGGGACGACCGTCCGTGATCGACTACCAGCTTTCTCGGAAAGATGCAGCAGTGGGCTCGAGGATTCAGTCGTCATATCAGGGTTCATGAGCGAGGTTTATGTCCTGGGTATATGCAATTTAGGGATTCCGGAGTATTATCAGATCGCAGCAAAGCAATTTGGTAGGCTTACTGAGGTGATCCCAACAGTGCTAACGCCATCCATCTTTAACTGAGAAGCTTGTCGAGTTAGACGTTAGATGTGTGAAGGTAGAAGTACAGTAACAGTGCATTCTATAACACGATTGAACGTGCCTCGGATTTTGTAGAATAATGAAGATGATTTGATGTGGACTCAACTAGGTAGAAGATAGAAGATAGGATGGTAGGGAGATGATTAGTGTACATGGGTCACTATAACCAGGGTTGATACATGTTTAAACAGCGGAAACCACATAGTGGTTCAGAAAACCGACCCATCAGCTATCCCGGGAATAGCTAATGGCTGTCCTCATGGGCCACGTTTTTCCTAATGCCATTCGGCCTTCCTCTGGCTTTGCTAGTGGGGAAGGGAATGCTCAGCGCACAGCATGTACATCCACGGAAGTACGTTCACCCATACTGTAGGGTTTCGCTCCAGTGGTCATGAACAAGCAGATTGGTAGGGTCGGCCTTTTGCTTTCCTTCCATTCTAATCTTTGCTACTCATACATAAGTGAGGACACATATGCCTCGCTTCGCCCAACTTCCCATTGCCAGCCCCGTTGTTATCAGCCTCTAAACCACAATACTAGTTGTGCTTAAAGATTTGGGTCAAGCCATAGGTGCTCTACGCTTCGGGTGGAGCACTCCCTAGCCTGCTCACGGTACGGTATTCTACAAGGGCACACAAATGGTAAACTAGCAGACTATTTCAGCCTTCTTAGTTTTTCTCAGCAATGGTCACGTCCATTCCGTGGCTAAAAAAAGTGATAAATTAACTATCACGCATTTTAGTTTGACAACCTTGTTACTAGCCCCAAAAACAAATCACGCGAAGTAGGGGGATAAAATCTGACTGTAAGGGTGTCACTCAAGCCTCTGGCACATAGCGCTGAGGCGGTCTCCTTGCCCTGCCAGACCGACGTGGAGCTTGCGCAGGAGATTCTCCTGAGGCGACCTCCATGGAGACCGTGATAGTCTCTTCAGGACTCTTGGGTGCTGTTCTTCTCCGTCTTGTTGCTACGGGAGCTGAGTAGATAACATCAAACCATTGGTGTTCTCGACTAAGGACTGGTCAGTATGATGCTATCATGGGTATGGAGTAACAGATAAGGGGTCCTACCATATTAGGCAGTCAAAGTTGATTGAAGTTGACCATGCTTTGAGCCAACTCTCCATGCACTGCAAATGGATGTCAGTGCGATACTGCTCACACTTTAAATAGACAGTGTCCTCTGCAGATGTACCATGACAGATGGAACATTCCCTGTCACTGTTGCTCTGGTCCTGGTTTATTAAGCGGAGAAGAATTGCCGGCGCGATGGCTTGGTCCCATATCTCAAACACAACCAGAGCAGGAGAATCAGGAGACACCTCAAACGGAACCTGCTTTCGTTGCAGCATTTTAACGCTGACTGTCTGAGTCTGGGGCGACCATCTGGAGGTAAAATACTCTTGGTAGGGTCAGGAGCTAATCCAGCCACTATCGGAATTTGAAGCCAGTCGTTGTCGGCGTCCCACCCCTAAAGCACAAGCGGTATCATACCATAATTTCGCGAGCGGGTTCACCTGTTTCTCCTCAGTATGCTGATGGTATCTTTTGCACAGTAGGAGCTTAGCAATCTTGCCAAGCATGGAAGAAATCATCGCCCGCTAATCGCTGCGCCAAAAGCTGCACGAGATTGTATGCGTCGTCCCGAGGCTTCTTCAAGATGCGGTTTTTGCATCTGTTATTGGCCTTGGTGTGTCCAAGGCAGGTGGCCACATCTTGTGGATCAATCATCCCACAAGCGATGATGGGATCCCATCTTCCGTCCATTGCGAGGCTCTCCGTCATGAACACAAAACAATAAGACGAGTAAAAGGGAGTGTATGTTCTAAGGAATCTGTTAGCTTTCCACCGGGACAGTCTTCCTATTAAGTGCAGGATCGCAGCCAGGAGGATCCTGCGCAGGGCCGGTGGACCTTCTGCACGTACCTTGGTAGGAATATCGCGCTCTTCGCTGGTCTGTTGAGTGTATGCGAGTAAGTTCCTAGATTATACGTGCGCCAACTACCTTGGGGTAAGGGGAATATATAGTCTGGGTCGGGGGCTCTAGGTAGATGGCTTTCACACATCATCGCTTTGTGGCATGGCTCTTAAGAACACCGACTATGGATCGCCGGAGCAGTGACATTCCTGGGATCAACTGGATTGTTCTGGGAAGCGTAATGGATGCTCTCAGAATACAGATCTGGTTAGCAGGCTTTGAATGCCAGTAATGCAACCCAGCGCTGATAACACCCAAGAGGATGCCCATGTACTGTATTAAATCAACCACACATGGTGCGCAGTTAACTGATTTCACTAGGCTGCTTAGCAATGGCAAACTAGCCACCACTTGGTGAATCACATCTATGACCACCTATTATGTGATACTGTATGTATCTGCTGAGTTACTGTAGTGCACAGAACATCCACAATCTCTGCAGCTATTTAAAGGATGCCGTGATGTCTCACCTTGAGGTCACTCTCCCAAATCAAGGCCAGCCTACATGCGATCTCTTCTGTCTCTTGTCTACCTTGCTTACCACGAGAATGGAAACCAATCTTTCGAACTGGTATCAAGATGGCACGGTTGTTGTCTTGATCCATCTACTGGGAATATTGTATTTCATTTTCTTCCTGATTTTGTTCCTTTTTCATCACTTTCCCACGTCTCTAGACATGATCCACAGAGCACAGGTTGTCACGTTCTACTGCGTGGGCGTTTTACTCTGGAGCCTATGCAGCCTCATTTATTGAACATTGTGGATTTTCTTCGGAGACAACGCGGCATACTGGCAAAAGTTGGAGATGGCCGGTACCCTGGGACTCATATATGCTACAGCCATCCCCTACATGACCTTCGCATATGATCAGCACTGCTATTTCCGGCCTGGCTACCTCTTCTGCCTGGCCATTTTGACCGTCGGCAGGATCACCGCGATGTTTGCTCAGCGGTCGGATGAGTCCGATAATGCCAACCACTTCCGCCGAGACTGCGTCTGGCTCGGGCTCTTGGTATTAGCGCCAGCAATTCATGCCCTGTGCCAGTCTCGCGGAAACCCTCCGTCACTGGCCATTGATCTTATACGGTTCGCGGGATGGAACGTGTTAGGAGCTCTCTGCTATCTCGCCAGAGTCCCCGAGAGAGTCGGCATGGTGGGAAACTTGCGGCCAAGCCTCTACATGATGCATCTCCTCCTCGTCCTCAACAATATCTCATATGGTCGAGACATCTGGAACTTCATAGTTTAGTCGCTGCCTAGCAGAATTCCAATGGTCGACATGATGTTGGGTTTAAGCGGTCAGTCTCCGCGCAAACAGCTCCGCGCTTGGTTGTGAATGTCTGTGGCGGCAGATATATTATGAAAGGGCCATATCTGAATTAGCTTACGTTGGGAACACTCAGCTATACGCGCGTGAATTATGGTCAAGGGCTCATGGCGATTTTAGGGGTTATAACCTGTACTTGTGGCAGTAGCAAATATTATATCCTATTGTTGGCTCTGTGAGCAAGGTGTGATTCATATCCACTTTTAGGTCAACCCCAGAAAATAGCTCGGTTCTTTGCGACGCTTGCCTTACAAGGCAGTCAGGCTGATCGGAGAAGAGTGCAAAGAAAGACGGCAGGAGTCGGGCACTTTAACTATTGAAATGGATGGTTTCTTATATCCTTCTCTTCGATTGTCAAGAGCTCAACCAGATGGGCGGATTCGGCCCAATTTAGCCCGTCGTACGTGCATTGTCCCTCACGGACTGTGAGAGTTCCACGGTCATGCCACCATGGTGAAATGACCCTGGAGTTTGTCAGAGCACCACAGTCCGGACTGCCAGTATAATAAGGATCAGCTAAATAAAAGCAGTGTGGCTTATCGGACCCCCCTCACCCGTAGAAGGGAACTCCTTCCGTTGTCAATACTGCGATTCCGAAAATGTAATTATACTGCAACTTCTGGAATCAATGCATTGACCTCTTATCTACTTCACGATTATTTCCCGCCATTCGCCTTCATCTTAGAGGTGGACAGGCTGATCGTGGTGCATTGGGGCCGTGGCCGAAGATGCTTTGCCGCGACAATGGTGATGATGCGCCACAACATCCAGCAATGTCATTTGGCCGACGGACATACACATTGACCACATACAGGGCGAAAGCTGGGCCATAGGGTCATTGAGCACCCAGTGTCAACCGTCATATTCCTGGGCGTTTGAGGGATCTCATGAGTGGTACCAGTGTTCCTGGGATTACGTTAGGTGTTCTCAAGAACCTAGGTTGGTTGCCCGCTCCCACGAACGGTTCTCTCCTATATGAATAAATCTAAATGGAAAAGATTTGGAAGATTCGGAATTTTGGAATTTTGATGGGGCAACCTCAACCACCACGGTCGGTCCCAGGCACGCACTTGGGCAATGGGTGCACGCACGGCCGGCCAATCAGGATGGCTGAGACTGGTATAGTCGATACCAGCTGCCACTAGGATATAAAGGTATTTTAACGATCGCCTAAAGGTACATCAAGTCTAAGTGGGTGGGTCCTTATCTGTTCGGATTAAGTATAGCACGATCTAGGTGGGGCATCGCGAAAAAGAGGTGCGGCTGAGATGCAGGAGGAGGGCGCGGGAAAGTACGCTAAAACCTAAAACCTAAAATTTCATGATGTACGCTGAACCTAATCTGTCAGATCTTTAATCATTTAATCCCCTAACTTTCCAGCGCTTGTCCACCCAGGGCTACAAATACTTCTCCCAGTCCTGCCAGTTAATAGGTGAAATAACAACTATCACCCTAAGTTAGATTCTTTGTATAGCAATATCTTCAAACATAAGGAGTGAGTTATCACACGCGATACTACCCAGAGCAACTGCAGCTTTACCGCCATGCCTGGCATCTAAACAAAGCAACATAAATGAAGACAAAGGGTATGAATGAAGATAAACCGCTAAGTAGATCAAAAATAGAAGGGCACATAACAACAAAGATTATAATAAATCAATAGCTAACACTAAGGCCAATTATTAACAAAGGACGAGGCCCCTCAATAATAATAAATTTATGAATAAAACATCAAGAGCAACATGTTACATGTATTGATCTTAGAGAATAAGATATATTGAGGACCTAGGATAAGTGTGAAGGAAAATAGATGGAGGACTGGGTTCTCCATAGCGGGTCTGCCTATTGTTAGGCTCTGCCAAGACTCAGGGAATTATAGTGATGAGCTCATATAAATCACATTCCAAGTCCTGGAATGTAGTACTCAGATTTGGACCCTTCCTTATTATAAACTTCAGGGAACATCTACTTAACATAGTTATGATTTGCTTGCATCACACCAACACATTTTCCAAAGTATTGCTAAAAGTGGACTTTAAAGTTCCTGATAAAACCCAATTTCTAGCCTCTAGCCTGATTATGATGTCTAGTGCAGCTGCATTCATGAGCTAGGGGAGGGAGTAGTGTACAGAACCTGGGTGTGCTTGGCGTTCAAGTCAATGAGGCCCAGAACTGAACCTCACCAGCAGTCCCGCAAATAGTACGACGGCCCATTAGTATCCTAAAAATCCATCCTACGTTCTTTGCACTCACTGGGCTCGGCTGACTTTATTCTTGAACTGTCAGCCAGTGAACTGTAACCAGACTTTTGGCTCTTTTTCTTCATGTTGCCACGAAACTTCAAAGTCTGCTTTCAGTAATACTTTGGAAAATATGTTAGTGTTACAAGCTAATTGTGATTGCATTAAGTAGATGTTCCCTAAAGTTTATAATAAGGAAGGGTCTAAATCTGAGTACTACATTCCAGGACTTGGAATGTAGCTTATATGAGCTCATCACTATAATTCCCTGATTCCTTTTAAGATTTCTTCCTGTAATGTATTACACCTCTACTATGACTGTTATACTTTCTCTCCGCCAATAATATTCCGCACTATGAATGCTACAAGGCAAGGGTTGATTGTTGCTTACCAATGCGCTGCTTCACTATGGTACTCAACTAAGCTTTGGGTTTGGTATCACCGCTAGTTCATGAGTCTAAGATGCTCTTCTGGGCTCTTTCAGTCCACATCCAACTGAGTTAGAGATGGTAAACTCTAGATGTCTAAGCTTGTACCTAGTAATGCTTCCATATTTATCTTCCTCACTTGCCCACGCTCACATCCAGCTTACCTTAGACTGATTCACCGAATATCCGCCCTTCCTCATTCATACCACCCTATTTGATCCTTACTTTCTTCCGTCCCTTTTGGCAGGTTCTATATCACTATGGCTCCAAACAATGATGCACTCCTCCCCAAGTCGCGGAAGCGTATATTATTAATCACTTACCCTCGAACAGCATCCAATCTACTGGTGAAAATGCTCTCCATAGAGAAGCAAACAAACGTCTTGTCGAACCAGAAGGGTGGATTTTTTTTTGGGACGCCTTCATGGAAGTGCGAAAGGCCATTTCCCAACACAGACCAATGGAGCACTGGAGTAAAGAGGAGGTAGAAGCAGTCCAAAAAGCCTTTGAACAAAGCTTGAACAACTTTGAGAACATGGCACAGTCCGCAGATTCTCAAGGCAAAATTTTCTTCGCCAAAGAACATGCCCAATGGATAGCAGATCCTGCTGTAATCAATCATTATATCTTGAAGCATAATTACCAGGCATCTTTGCGTCTCGGCATCCAAGTTCCGACGCCAAAGGGCGCTGAGGAGTGCTTTTCAATGAATGATTTTACTATATTCCCGGACACGTACCTGGAGACTTGGACAGTGACCTTTCTTATACGCCATCCAGCCTTAGCATTGCCATCCTTCTACCGGGCTGCTGCAAATCTAGAGAAAGAAGGATTTGCTGGACATCATGAGATCCAACCACTGATGGAGCTGCACTCAACTCTCAAATGGACTAGACTGCTCTACGATTGGTGCTGTGAACGTGGCACCCAGTCAATCTTAGCGGAGCAGCCTGACAAATGCTTTCCGATACTCTTGGATGCTCAGGATGTCATCCATCGCCCGGAGGTTGCTTTGAAGTACTGCGAGCTCATAGGGATGTCCCCAGCGGAAGTTAAGTTTGCCTGGGATTCGGCAGAATCTGGAGACTCTCAGTATAATGTGCCCGGAGTCGGTCCTAAAAGTCCCGAGGACGTAATGATGTCAACGCTAAACCATTCGTCTTGCCTAATAAAAGAGAAAACGCCGGCCACTATGGATATTGCCCTGGAGAGAGGAAAATGGGATGTGGAATTTGGTGAGAGCCTAGCAAAGCAAATGGAACAATGGGTTAGGGAGGCAATGCCAGACTACAATTACCTCTGGGCTAAAAGGCTGCAAGTGGGCCAGCGGAAAAAATGACTGTCTCCTGGAGGACATGGTTGGGGTGTTTCAGACGGGTCTTCGTCGGCACCTATAGCTCCTTGCATGAATATAGGTAATGAGCTTTTGATATTACTTTTCTTAATGATTACTTCCTTGCGTGTGTTCTGGAGAATTGAGAGTAAAACGATATATACGGGGACAATAAAAAACCCCCATGCGCTAGGTCTGTATGGGACAAGCAACTTTAAGAAAGAACCAAAGAGACGATTTCAATTATATCCTAGGGAGAAAGGGTTGGTACCCTGCCAGCCTGTCCCTATCACTATTGGCACCGCCGGGGCTTGAGTAGCATCAATGTCGTCTACGCCTGTTTCTTATTCAGATTTACAGTTTCTCCAGGTTGTTTTGAACAGGGTTCCGGCGGTTAGGTCACGAGAGTCTATATGAAAGTGCTTGGAGGGTACCAGCCATGTTTTACATTTATTACAAAACTTTCGGCTTCAGCTTTGGAAGGGCGATGGACAATGCAATTATTTTGACCCTACAGGTCATCCACTTTCGTAGTTCACGGAGGCGGAAACATTTTAAGATTGCTACATCAAGTACCACCTTGCTAGGCGCGATAGTATCTAATGCAATTCAATCTGTAATGTTCTGATTCGACTTCCACACTTTACAGTGGGTGATCACCTGACGCCCGATTCCCCTCACCGACTTTCAAAATGTCCAAACTTCAACTGCTCATAACTTTACCAATATGACTCCAATTGAAGCGGCTTTAGAAGCAATTGAATTGTTGGAACCAGGCGAATCAATTAATTATACTTTCTTTGCAAACAAGTATGGCGTTAGCCGGCCAACGCTCTCGAGGCGCCACCGCGGGGTTCAACGCTCGAGGGACCATCAGTATGAGGAGCAGCAAATTCTCACCAACCAACAAGATAAGGAACTCATAAAGTACATCAACAAGGTCACTGAGAGAGGCCTCTTTGCCTCGCATGAAATGCTGCGGAATTTTACTAAAGAGCTTACTGGAAAGAAGCCCTGAAAGGACTGGCCTGGGCGCTTTTTAAAGCGCCACCAAGATGACCCTTGTTTCAACTTATACAACTGCTATTGATGCCGCAAGAAAATGAGCCAATTCCGCGTACAAATACACTTTATATTTTGAGTTGTTGAGCCGGAAACTGCAGGAATATGAGCTACGGCCAGAGGATATCTATAATATGGATGCGAAAGGCTTTTTGATTGGAATGCTGGTCAAAGGCCTTAGGATCTTTTCCAAGCAGAAATATCCGAATAGTGGCCTCAAGCAGCGCCTGCAGGACGGGAATCGCGAGTGGATAACCTCAATTGCTTGTATCTGCGCTGATGGGACCTCTCTTCCTCCAGGTCTTATTTACCAGGCCATCAGCAGTGACATACAGGATTCCTGGCTTCAAGATTTCAATCCCAAGCAACATGGTTGCTTCTTTGCCTCCTCACCAAGCGGTTAGACTAATGATAAGCTAGGATTGGCCTGGTTGAAGGACATTTTTAACCAGTATACTAAGGAGAAAGCACGGAGGCGCTGGAGGCTTTTGATCCTTGATGGCCACGGATCTCACCTTACTATGGAGTTCATCAATTACTATGACAATAATAAGATCCTCTTAATGACATATCCACCTCATTCAACTCATTCACTGCAGCTGCTTAATATTAGGATCTTTAGTCCTCTTGCCACCGCTTATAGCAAGCAACTGGAAGAGTTTTTGCACAAATTAATGGGCCTAAGCCATATTACCAAACAAGACTTCTTCCGCCTCTTTTGGCCAGCCTGGCAGCAAGCCTTGTCATCAAGAAATATCCTTTCTTCATGGAAAACTGTCAGTATATCACCTCTGGATCCCGAGATTATTCTGCAGCGATTCATCAAGAAGAAGGACTCAAGGCCCTCTACCAGTGAGTCTTCTCGCTCGATACTACAAGCGGAAGGTTGGAGGAAAATTGAAAGGCTTCTAAACCGCGTGGTGGCTGATATATATGACAAAAACACCAAGAAGTCGAGTTCAACGATGCACCACCTCTCTACGGAGAATATTCTTCTAAAACTAGGTTGCCAAGGCCTCAAATCAGCCCTCCAGAATGAGAAGAAGAAGCGCTAGCGAGGTAAAGCCTTACAGTTTGATATTCCACCTCCTGAGAATGGTGGTGCCGTATTTTATTCTCCGCGGAAGGTCCAACAAGCTCATGAACTTCAGAAGCAGAAGGATGAGGCTATACAGCTCACTAAAGCTTCAAAAGAGGAAGAAAAGGTCCGCCAGCAGCAAGCAAAGGAAGAGAAACAACGCTTGCTTGAAGAGCGCAAGAGAATTCGAGCATCTCAATAAGAATTGCGCCGCTTGGAGGCAGAGCAGAAGAAACAACAAAAGGAGGAGGAGCACCTGGCAAAGGAGGCAGATCGACAGCTTCAAGATAACTTCCAGCAGGCCAAGAAGATTCCAAAAAAGTCCTCTAAAGCTTCACGCCAGCAAAATCTCCATACAAATAAGCTAATAAGTGCTGAAGTTGTTGCAGAGGCCCCTCCAATAGTAAATCGTCGAGGCCAGCAGATATGGCTACCCCACTGCTTCCGGAGCGATTAAGAATTATGTATAGACTGTATCTAATGACTACTTTAAGCCACCAAGAAATCGAGAGATAATATCAATTGGATGTGGTTGAATCGCTTCATGTTTGATATCATACTTGGTGGTGATTTCGGGCGGCAGGTGGGACCGGGCGGCAGGTGATCACCCACTGTATTATATAAGCAAAATGGAGATAACGTAATCCACAACCGAGCGAGCCACGACACCGAGCGAGGTGTACACAGATCACGCCACCTAAAAAACGTGGACGCGTGACCCTCATCCCCCACCCGTGACTGCCAAGCCAGGAACGTGACACGCGACCTACTTAAAAAACAAAACAGATTCCTCTGAATTTCAATTTCCGTTCCATTTTCCTGTCTTCGAGTCATAAGCAAATTTCCAACTGCTTCCTAACTGCTTATTCGCTTTTCCAGTATGGATTCTCAACAAGAAATCGTTGGTTCTGATGACTTGACTGAGTCAAGCCCAGAGCAACATAACAATATTGAGGTATTTATATCTGTCTGAGCACTTATTAACTGGTTACTAACCACTTAATATAAAAATAGGGCATTCCAGTACAACTTACAATTTCAAAAAGCCATCCTCTTCAGACATCAAAAATTGAATACATTGATGACTTACCAGAGTATCCAACAAGTCATATTCATGGATATTCATACGTTGTTGCATCCAGAGGACGATCACAGAGCGAAATGGAGCAGCTTGTTCATGAGGTAACGTAAAGTACTTGATAACTGTCTTCCAAACACTTTCTAATCAGTTAAAGATTCAATATTCACGGCGACAACAGCATGGGCCAAGGCGACCAGTTAAGTGCCCATTTTTTAACTGTTTGGTTAAAAGATGGAATTGGAAATGCTCCGGTATCTATGCATGTGAATATCTAAATTCGTTTCTTCGATCCTATCATCATACATTCGTTGATGAGAATTGTTGGAATATTATTCGAAAATCTCAGGAAGATATTCAATTGCTGGAGAAAGATATTGGAAAACGCAATGCGTACAGGTATGTAACCTCCTTTTCAGCATTTCCTAAGCAGCTACTAAGTACTTCTAGTTACTATCGGTCGAAAATGGAATTCTTCAAGAGGGGTTCATGCATGTATTGACCAACTTCCAACTTGCAAGCCAGTTTTTAAGCGGCATACTCAAATGGTTAATCGGAATCCTCTCAAATGCTTGTTAAGTACTTGCTAACTACTTACAGGATGTACATGGCGAATACCCACCATATATTGGCTGCAGTAATGGATCTGATGAGTTTCTAACGAAACATCATAGAGGATCCGTTCAAGGCCATACATCGATTGATCTACAATTTCTTGAGGACCTTTTTAACAGAAATATTATGCCAGCAGCTGAAGATTGCAGTGTATTTGAATCACTGGCGTCCCGACGAAAATATTGTGGTAAGTACTTCACTATTGATTATCAACTGGTTACTAACTGCTTATAAGATCGAGATCACCTCCAAGGACCAGGCAGATTGAAACACACCCCTTGTAGTGTTGTTTTCACTGCATTAGTTCCTGTTGATATTAATGAATGCCCATATATCCTTTTCACATCGCATGGTATTCATCAGCATCCACCACCACCACCTAGCAAGGCACCAGAGCGTATCCTGCAAGGGGTGAAGAATATTATTCAACGCATAAGAGATCCATCTTTAACGACTGGTAAGTACTTGCAAAACACTTAATAACTATTTTGTAAATACTTATATCAGACTAGCACAATTCCTTCGAAGCCCACAATTGGAGGCATTCTACCAGCAGTATAATGCTTCTACACTAGCAGAGATCCACTCCAGTTTCTGCAATAAAGACAGAATTGCCACTATTATTCAGAAGCAGCGACTTCTTTCATATCCTAATGGACAGGATATCAACGGGTTACTCTTTCTACAGAACCGGGATCCGCTAGTAAAGGTAAGTAGTTATTAACTACTTGTTAATTGGTTGGCAAGTACTAAAAAGTGACTAGGAATATATTCAACAGAAGTATCATGATTCTTATGGTACAATGGTGTTTTGTGCCTTCAAAGATCAGATTCGTTTATTATCAGCTTTATCCTCATTTGAAGTTGATATGTCTTTTAAACGAATTCGATCTAAAGACATAAATGAGGTCCTTTTTGCGACATTCATGCCAGACCAATGCAAAAGTAAGTGTACCAAGTACTTATTAACCACTTGCTAACCATTTGTTGACTAGTTATCACACTACTCCGAGTGTTCACCAACCAGGATTCCACTGAGGGCTACTATTTACTATTCAAGCGTGCATTTCATCTTATAGAAGAGGTTTCTGGACAGGCAGTTCTATTTGATCCAATTCATGGATCTGGAATTCATGGTATTATTGTTGACATGGACACAAAACAGTATACAGG